TTTCTTTCTTTCTTTCTTTCTTTCTTTCTTTCTTTCTTTCTTTCTTTCTTTCTTTCTTTTTTCTTTTCTTCCTGGTTGTGGTTTCTTTCTAGAAACTCACAGTCCTTCTGATATGTGTTATAATCTGTCAATTCTGTTCACAGACATTTTGTTTCGGTTTCTTGTTTCATTGCCCACATCGGGCCTCGGTAAACACCTTCTCACCTAGTGTCCTCCTCACCTAGTGTCCTCGGCCTGGAAGAGCAGAAGGTTGTCCCTCCAGGAGATGTCTGTCAGTCTTAGCAATCTCTCTGCATAGATTTGTGAAAGGGATAAGTAGCAACAATTTAAGTTTCTTGAAACCATTTTATTTGATCAAAGTGGGCCCCAGACCTTATAGAACAGACAAAAATGATTCGGGGACCTTCCTGAGAAAACACACATCCCCAAGTCCCACTATTGAGGTTCTTAGCTAGTGCTAACACAGTTGGAGGCCAGAAAACTGCCTGAAGTTCTCAGGAGGTTTTAGAGCAGCATATGTTGCTGGATCATAGTCAGGTGCATAACCCACCGCTGTCTTGTTCCCTTCCTGCTCCAGAGCACGAAATACAGGCAAGGGTGTAAAGCCCTGAACTTCCCATCCTTCATGGCTGTGTGTGTTGACACACATAACTCCTCCATCCAATCAGCAGAATCATGATTTTCCTCTGTTCTCTAAAAAACATGTAAGTGGAAACAATCTAACGACGATAAAAGGTGCCATGAAAGAGGATAATAATAAAATGTCTCCAGTATTGAGGCATTTAATACAGCCATGATTAATCACAGCGTGACATTAAGCACCTCCACTGTCACCAGCTCCCCAGCCCTCTGCTTAGGACTGGGGAGGTAGTCACTCAGTTTGGTTCCTTACCCAGAGCTCCTTCCTTCACAATGGTCTACCTTGGGCTAAGTCAAACTACATTACGGTCTACGTGAATCAGTTCTCTTGATGTACATAAATGCTCCTACTCAGAAACCTGAAAGGAGACCCACCCAGATTCAGAGAATAGTGTGACTCACGCGTATGGATGTGCCCACAGTTGCACACACCCAAATAAGCACACAGACTCTAACATCGCTGCTGCTGTATTTTAAACATGGTTTGTCTCTTCTAAGAGTCATATGTTAATTTGGGTTCCATTTTGGTGGTGTTGTGAGCTGGGGCCTTTAAGTGTGGCTATGTCATTATGGAGGAATAAAGCCTTTCTCCAGGGAGTGGGTCCTTTCTCACAAGAGCACGTCGCTGTTTGTCCATCAGGCTTGAAGACAACAGACAGACAGAGCCAACCAATCTTAGACTCCAAAATAAACCTTTCGCCTTTATAAATTAAAGTGTCTCGTGTGTTCTCTTACAGCATTAGAAAATGAACTAAGACAGATGTCTACAGGCATATGAGCAAAGGGGTATAAGCATGTATTTTTGTACTTATAGATTAATATTCAAGCATATGTCAGACAAAAACAGTCTTAAACACTCTCCCCTAGACACACACACAGTCATAGGTAAGTATATGTAGGTTCATGTGCTTGACCCTCTTCCCCTATAAATGTATATATACCCTTGATTCATTATGTATCTATTGATGTCTTATTTATGTGCCAGAAAAATCTTAGGTGTTGAAAACTGGGGAGTTAACAACAACAAAAGTTTATTTTGTGCTGTTTGTACATAACAAAAAATGTAATTTTTTAAAATGCATACCCACTTCCCAATGCATCTCTCTCCTCTCTCTCCCCCACCTCCCCTCTCTCACACACACGCACACATATACACACACATATACACAGAGAGAGAGAAGAGAATATATAGGAATTATGGGATGGGAACTATGACAGGTACTATGAAGGTAATATCGAGTGTTTAGAGAATTTGACTAATTCAGGGTAGCCTGTAAAATTACCCTCAAAGAAATGAAGTTTCAGCAGATGCGCAAGAGATAAATAGACAATACCTAGAAGGGGGAGGGGAGAGAAAAGCATGTGCCGGTGTCTGATGTTAAGAGGAAGTCTCTTGCATCAGAAAAATCAAGTTCGTGTAAGTAAGTGCAACTGGCAGACAAGGAAGAGACTGCAGACTATCCCTGCAACTGCAGGCAAAGGAGTCACCCCACAGAGTCCTGGGCTGCATTAGGATCTCTGTCTTTATCCCCAGAGCATGTCTACACCAATGATGCGTTTGCTACAGAGGTCAGGTCTATATTTTGAGAGCTATCACTAAAGATATGTCTAAAGGGATTTTCATGCACATCGCTGCACACAAATGACTTATATACACATGTAATGCATATTTGTATATATTTATTCAACTGTCTGTCAGATATTTTATAGACACATATCATATGTAAGTTCAGAGAAAGAAAGAAGCATGGAGGGCAATGAGGGGTGAGGAGTGTTCTCTTTATGGGGTCTAAAACAGTCCTTGGAGCCAAAACTGGGAAAGTGGTGGATTGGAAAGGAGCCTTCTGCCTTTGCTGCCTCCTCTGGATTTGGCTGACTGGCACAGCGCATGTGCCTCCAGCACTGTTCCTCCTCCTCTTGGCTCAGAGCGTCCAGTGACAAGGTGGGGTTCCTTCCAGAACATGATCATTGACTATTCTTGGCCTGGGCAAGGAGGGGAGGATGGGTAGGTCAGGTCGCATAAAGATTGCCTTGTGCCTTTCTCGGAGTTGTAAGTAGGGCCTCTGGCAGCCACGAGCCGATGTACTCTTAGCACACAGTGGGCAGCCCTAAGCCATAAACAGAAGGAACAACAGGGGAATCAGAGGACTTGACCGGCTGGCACAGCAGTAGGAATAGCTACGACGCTCTGTGATATGTGACATCAGTGATGTCTGTGTCCTCGATTGCCTTGCCATAGTAACTCATCCAGAAACATAGATTTACACAGAGAGAACTTTCCTCCGATGGGGGTAGCGTCTCACAGTGGAGGAAGTAGTAGGGTATTTTATCAGCCAGAACACCCGCATTACGTTTCCTTCAGTGCACTGGAACTATGCTTTTGTACACTGGGCTCCTATTTAACAGCAAAGCCAGGGAGAGCCTTGGGCAGAGCTAGGGGCAGGCTCCAGGATGATCATTGAAAGATTTGGTAGGACTTAAATTTACCTAGAACCTGTGTCTCCATAAAGATATCCCTGGAGGATTTGTTGATGTCACAAGGACTCCTACCCACTGATACTTTGTTTTCCAAAAGTGGTCTTAGAAAATGTTTTCTTCCTTAATTAAGAAGAATTCCAGAATATTTTCCTTTTGCTTCAGGCTGTGCAGGAAACATGTTTCTTTCTCCTCGGTTTTTTGGGCACGCTTTTTCGGGATCCTGGTGGCAACCTGCCCCATCCATCTGCTGAAGATGGCAGTTTTCAAGTGGACACTGGGTAGTGTTGATCCTCCAAGCTGACCCGGTGCTCCACAATGTTCAAAGGACTTTCAAATGGGTCATTGTGTCTAACCCTCAGCCTAGCCCTAAGAGTCGTGTGGGCTCTCCATTTCACAGATAGAAAGACTGAGGTTAAAAGACGAGCCTGTTCACAGGGCAGAGCTGACTTTCAATTCCAATCTTCATGCTTATCTTTCAAAAATGCCAGTTCTGTGGTGTTTTCCCACTCTGGCACTCTCCCGAGGCCCAGGTCTCCTCCCTAGGGCTCTCAGCTTTCTGTTTTCTGCATCTTAGTCAAGACGGATAGCCCCCAGCAATGAAGCCACAGATGCCACTGTGGAGATAAACAAGTGCCTGCCCCAGGGACTGTCCTCAGAAAGCTGTCACTGTTGATAAGCCTTAAACTTGATCAGCTCTCGCAAACATGGCTCAGAGCAACATCCCCTAAGCCTCTGCCTTCATTGTGCAGCGCCAAGGCACTTGCTCCCCACTGTGGACTGATGGAACCCCAGGTCCCTCTCCCCCTGCCTGCCCAGCCGGCAGCTCAGACTCCAGGTTCAGGACATTTCTGTGGGAAGACCCAGCCGATTTACCCCAATCCCACACCCACTGGAGATGATCCAACCTGTTTTAAGGGCCAAGTTCCACACCTCAATAAAAAAAAAAAATGCAGACTCCGGGAAGTAGTTCAACGTCTTAAAAACAGCTTGTGTGTGGTTGAGATGTTTTATTTTAATCATAGCAATTAAATGTTCTTGTTTTGCACAACAGCCCCAACAGAATCGCCTTTAGCACAGGTGAGTGGCATGTAGGTTTGGGAAAGTCTCGGGTGGATGACACATCCCAATGCTGAGGAGAAGCATTGGTAATCTCGTCTCTAAGAATCAACTAATACGGCGTATTCAGCTTTCGGAGGGGCAGCGTGAGTAACACATTCATTCACTTCTAACAGTTTTCTGTCCCCAAGCTGTTGCTAACTGTCAGGGCCACAGCCGTGGCAGAACGACAGGTGGCTTGTCTTGCTTTCATTGGTTTCAATCTAAATGGGACGCTAGACAATGAGAAGAGACTTAGAAATACAGGTATTTAGTTCTAGTTAGCTATAGCATATCGCCAACTGGGGCTCTAAAATTAATGCTCAGCAAAACATACACAGACTCGCGAGCAGGGGTGAAGGGCGAGAAATGGCCTTCTGGATTTTGCTAGTAGATTCAAAAAGATATCTGGTGTCTGTCAGCCTCAGACTGGACTCTAATAATCCGTAAAAATTTAATTACCTCCCCTTTTAAAATATCTCAAGGAAAAGCAAGGTTGAAAAGGGCTCAAAGCCCTCAGTGCCTCAGTATTGGTCTATCCTATTTGGCAGGAGGGCAGGAGAGTCATTGTTTTTTTTCAAGGCAAGGGATGTCAAGGCAAATTAAAATGGAGACCACCCACTTCAATCTGAATTTCAGATGAATAGCAGATATTTGGCAAATTTGTCCTGAATGTTATGTGATACATACTTGTTTTCAGAACATTTTCTGCTTATCTGACATTCAAAGGCAACTGATCGCCAGGTGGTGGTGGTGCACACCTTTAGCCCCAGCTCTCAGGAGGCAGAGGCAGGTGAATCTCTGAGTTCAAGGCTAATCTGGTCTACAGAGGGATTTCCAGGACAGCCAGGGCTCCACAGAGAAACTCTGTCTCCAAAAAAAAAAAGAAAGAAAATAAAAAAAAAAAAAAAAAAAAAAGAGAGAGAGAGAGAGAGAGAGAGAGAGAGAGAGAGAGAGAGAAAGGAAGGAAGGGAGGGAGGAAGGAAGGAAGGAAAGAAGGAAGGACGGAAGGAAGGAAAAAGAAAAGAAAAATGGTAACTGAAGATGCAACACTGGTATCTTATAGCCCTGGGAGAGAAAAATCAAAATGGCAAGAAAGAAAAGTATCTGAATAAGTAAATAAGCAGCAAGTATCTAGATATGCAGAAGGCACTTCCAAATGCCATTTCTCTGAGTACTTACAGAAACCAGCAAAGGGTAAACTAGGGGAAATTGAGGTTCCCAGGTCAAAGGTTTAGAGAACAGCCTGTCCTTTTTTCCTTTTTGGAATCCAAGCTCTGGTCACATCATAAAAGCTCTGAGACCCTTACAGGAAGTGTACCTGGCTGGCCTGGTTTAACCTGACTTACTCACGGATGCTATTTATGGAGCCAGTTTTATCTGTTTGTTTTATAAGGACACCTAGTAACATCATGCAAACAAGCTGCTCTGCGCAGCACGCTTCGGAGAACGCCAATATAAAAACTGAAAGTTGTCTTCGTCCATCCAGTGGGCTGCTGGGTAAGGAGGAAATGGAACTCGGTTGCTATAAACCAAAGGGCAGATTCTCAAGGGATGCAGACATCCGGGAAGCAGGTGCTTGATTCGACGTGACGTCTGGACCTTTGGAACAGTTGGAACCGTATAATAGGTAGTGAGTAAGTTTCTGGGGACTTCTTATGTCAGAGATGGGATGCTGCCGAGGACACTAGAGGATGTCCTCGCTCTGTGTAGAAAGTTCTGTGACTGTTGTGACATTCACATGCAGTGTAAAGGGGCCTCCACGAGCAACTTCCTTTACAAAGAGACTCCATGTCTATATGTTTCTGAGGCCTCTGTCCTTCCCTCCTGTGCCTACTCTTTATAGATTCCCTAACAACTGTACAGCAAACCCTTTTCTTCCTCGGGGCATCAGTCTGCCAACAGCAATGACCCATGCTCTCATCTAGGCCTTTTTATAGTCTAGGCATCCTGGATCACTCCCTGGCCCTCTGGGATGTTACCTAGAGCTTGAGACCTCCACTTGGCAGAGAAGAAAGAGGGCAGAAGTATCTGGATTGTGAGACTGATCTTTGTGGTGATTGAGAGTACCCCTACTATCCAGGATCTAAGACACAGGGCATGACGTACCCCAACATGGTTCAAATCGCACCTCCGCCTCTCCTGGACTCTGTGACCTAGAGAAAGCTTATAAACTTGAGTGAGCTTCTGTTCCCCTTGTGAAAAATAAAAGACTGGAATGGCAATACCTACATCTCCCTTCAAGGTGGAAAACGTCTGGGCTTGGGGACAGGCTGCTCAGACCCTGGACTCAAGTCTGCAACCACAGTCACAGTCTCTAATCCTCCTTGGCGGTGAAGCAAAGAGTTGCTGACAGCGTCCTTGAGCTGAGCCTTTGGAGCCACAGATCTCCCAGGAACGCTACCTATTCACACCACTTAGCGAAGGGAAGACTCGCGAGCCAAAACCACTTCGTGTGTGCACCAGCGAGTGCTCCAGTGTGTGCACCAGCGTGTGCTCTAGCATGTGCTTCAGTATACTCACCTGCGTGTGCTCCAGTGTATGTACCAACGTGTGTTCCAGCGTGTGCACCAGTGTGTGCACCAGCATGTGCTCCAATATGTGCACCAGCATGTGCAACAGTGTGTGCTCCAGTGTGTGTACCTGCATGTGCTCCAGTGTGTGCAAGAGTGTGCACCAGCGTGTGCTCCAGCGTGTGCTCCAGCATGTGCACCAGCGTGTGCACCTGTATGTGCCCCAGTATGTGCACCAGCATGTGCTCCAGTGTGTGCAAGAATGTGTGCGCCAGCATGTGCACCTGCGTGTGCTCCGGCGTGTGCACAGGTGCTCTGAGGTCACTTTGACTGGCGCCTGCTTTTGGGGTCTTGCTCCTATAGTAAAGACTCCAACCCCAGGATTGTCTGGGAGGAAACATGCTGGTAACTGTCTCAGAGTGGGACAAAACAGTCCATCCCAGACCTGGGTCTGCTAGCAGTGGCTTGTCTGCCGTCTGCTGGGTGCGACTCTCACCCTACCCCCATCTTCATCCTCCCCATTCTTCACTTGAGGATCTCTGAGCTCTGTGTCTCTTGGGAAAGTGTCTCTGATCTATTTTTGCCTGAGTTTGTGCGCTCTCTACACGGATTATCATCTGGCCGACTCCAGTTTTGATTAGCTCTTTTGTTTGATCTGTCCTGTTTCACGGTGTGAGCTTTATGGTCCATTGCAGCCCTTCTTGGATTACGGAGGTTGGCTAAGGTATCAGAGCATTTGTCACAATTTCTGAGAGGATGCTTGTCCCCTCGTCCCCAGCCTACCCTGCTCCTGGTGCTCCTTGCCACTTTGGCACAAGCAGACGCCTTCCCCCTCTCGACATGACTCTGTAAGTGGAGTCTGGTTTTCACATTAGCCAAGAAGAGGCCCTGAAGTCAGAAATCCTTGGCCTGTGAGTCACGCTGTTGCTTTGTGCCTCATTTCCCCCAACTATAAATAGGCCAAGTCCCACACTTTCTCATCCCCCAGTACTCAAGGGACCGGTACAGGTGCTTTTGTACAAACTTAGAGCTCCTTCCTAGTGGCCATTTCTGGTCTTTCCCAGGTGGGCTCTCTCTCGAAGATCATGGCTCTCTGGGGTCTCTCAAAGTCATCATTTCTGTCTCCCTACTTTCTTTCCTGACAGCTGCCTCTTCCGTTGTATGCATGTGAAGTTTCTGGAATGCAGAAGCCAGGTTTTGCAGAAAGAGCTCTCTCTGTCTCCCTGTTGTCTTCAGAGTGGAGGCCTCAGCGGGTGAAGTCACAAGGAAATCTCACCCTGAGAACAAGCTGTATATTCAGGCATGCCCCAGCACGGATACCTTGACCTCTCAGACCCTAAGGTGCAGGGTGGTGTGATGGAAAGGAAAGGGGAGGAAAGGTTGCTTGGTGTCTGAGGAGTTTCCATGCTTTTAAAAGAGGCAGACAAGGGCACAAAGCGAGAGTTCTCGGTTTTTAATACTAAAGATTCCGTAGACAATCACTACCTTTCATCATCTGCCAATTTTACAGATGCAGAAACACACACATCACTGAACTTGTAGACTGGGGGAAAATGATTTTACTAACGGGTTCCTTGTTCCCATTCTACCTCCAACACTGAAACGTCTCCCAGTCTGTAATCCAGATGCAGATGCTTCCTGTGGTCCCACTACACGCATACAGAAGCCCAGGTCTTGGAGGCCTGGCACAGTTGGTGCCCACAGTCTAGGCTATTACTCCCTGCACACAAGGCTCCCACTTCTTTGGATGTCTCTTGACTCTCTGAAGACCGGGTCTTAAGGAAGCTTTGCTGCTACCTTGGATGGAACATCTCTCTCCCTGTTCTCTGGGCTTCTTGTCTCAGCTCAAAGGCTCTATACATGGAAGATGGAGGCATGGTCTGTCTGTCCTCAGTCACTGGGCATCTTCTCATACGTGCCACTCACTGCATTGGAGAGCTTGGCTCATTGTTCTTGATTTGACCTCCAGTGTCTAGAACACAGTTGACTCATCCTTAATGTGTTAAGAACTCTCTGCTGAATGACGGGGTCAGCGAATGCAGACTGAGGGAAATCTGACAGTACAAGGTCATATGAAGAAACAAAGAAAACAACCATCATACTTCTGAATACTCTTTTTGAATAGCGTTTCTGTTAACATTAGGACTATTGCCTTTTTCTTCCAGATCATCTCTCTCTCTCTTTCTCTCGCTCTCTCCCACTCCCTCTCTCCATATAAATATAGTGTATGTGTGTGTGCATCTGTGTGTGTATGTATATAAACACATATACATAAACTATATCTTGGGCATAATATATTGATAGGTGATATACAGTATATGCTCAATAAAATTGAGATTATGCTAAATATGGTTTGTATGCTGCTTTTCCCACTTACTGTTATAGTGTACCTGCCCATGTTATAAAACAAGCTTTTAAACTGACTGTTTTCCCCTAATTGATCCACCCTCTTTCCATGCCATTCTCACTCTTGCAGTAACTGCTCCTGACTGTGAGTAGTTGGGTAAGAGGTACTCAGTCGTGTTCCAGGAAGAGTTAACAGAATCGTTTTTAACTCACTATGCCTTCTGTGGCTTCTCTCAGTCTGGCTGACTTGAATGATGACCTCATCGTCAAGCCAAAGATCTGTGGTTAGTGGTTGTGTGTCTAAAAACTTCTTCCTTGAAAGATAAACCAATACCAGTGCGCACGAACGGCTGAAGCTAATCGAGGGAGAGCAGAGGCAGGTCCTGATCACCTTCACACAGAAGTTTCCCTGTTGAAATCAACGGATACGGGGGCCATCAGATTAAAGGATTTCAAAGTGCAAACATAAGGACTTTGTATGCCAAAAGGAACACAGAGGCAGCAAACACCTTCTCTCCTTTTTGTAAGGAAACTGAGACCTGAGTCTTGCCCAAAATGTTCTATAGCAAACAACAATGGAGACCATACTGGGGCCTGACACTGCTCTTCACAGGCCAGGGGAGACATTTCCACGTGGAGAAACAGATTCTGCTGCAGAAGGTTTTAGACTACAAGCAACTGTACTAGCCAGAGTTCTTCAGAGGAACAGAAGCAACTGCACAACATGCATATACACGTGTATATATGTGTGAATGAATGTATGTATATTGGTCCCTGTATTTGAAAAGTTTACATGATTTTAGAAAAGATACAAGTATCCAAAAATAGAGATTTTCGCACTGGAAGTCCCATAGGAATCATGTGCTTTGCCAATTGTCTGTGATTCTGTGTGCTTGCTGGATATCTAGAGTGCTAACTAGCTGCTTGGTCCTGAAGCTGAGCACCTTGGAACAAGGACTGATGACATACCTCCCAGCCCAGGGCTAGAGACCTAGGGAGTTGATACTCACAGTCAAAGGCTCACGAGACTGGTGTCTGACGTGGGCTACAGCAGCTGCAATGAACACACTTGATCAGAAAGCTGAGCTTGCAAGCGCAAGGCAGTCTCTTCCACTTTCCACTTGGATTTGTCATGGTGGCAGGCCGGCTGGTTAGCATAACCCGCATTCAAAGATGCTCCTTTTCCCTTAGCTGGTGTCCCACAAGTCAACAGTCCCAGGAAATGGCCTTACCAACACACCAGAAGGTGTGCTTTACTGGTCTCTTTGCTGTCCCTCAATCCAGTCAACTGGCAATCAAGATTAACCACCATGGTGTCCAAATTAAAAGACAGAGATTTGAACTATAATGTTTTAGAGGAATCCCTTGAGGCCACGTTATAAGTGACTGTCCAATGATTAAGCTAACAGTTGAGGTGTTTGAGGCTGTAACCTCTCAACTTTCTAACTTTATCAGTAAGGATTTGCTAGTGAGCCTCTAAATACATGCACGTGTATGTACTGTACCCAGTATCCTTCCAAGACTGCTGAACTATTCTAGGGCCAAAACAAACAAACAGAAAACAATACCAATAGCTGTTCTATATTCTCATTGTATCCAAACGAATTATCTTCTGTGTTTCTTCTGGAAGCCGCTCTTCGTGATCATTATTTTTTTACCCAAAACGAAGGCTCATGGCTCCTCAGTGGAGCATGAAATCCATTCCTCAAGCTGCATTACCAGGTATGAAATGAGCTATAATGTAAGAATTAGAGAACCAAAGGCAGATTGTATGTGATGGGTGACTTTTACCTAGGGGGAGCATGTTTTCAAGTATTGTGAGAATGTGTGGTTTGTCTGGGGAGATGGTACCCTAGGTGTTCTGGGCGACTCCACTGGAGTCAGCAGTGTGATGATGACAAGCCATCACCCTACTGCTTGCACATCCCTTAACCTCATCACTCCGCATCGTGCTTGTGTACAAATGATTATGGCTTTGCCGCTCTGAAGCGGGACAATAGTGTGGGGCTGGAGAGATGGTCCCAGCATCCACCTGGCAGCTCACAGACATGTGGACCTCGAGTTCCAAGGGATCCAACACCCTCTTCTGGTCTCCATGGGAACTGAGTGCCCGTGGCACAGTTACATACCTGCAGGCACTCACACAGACACATGAAACCTCAAATAAAGGGCAGCGAGGCTCTGACTAGCTTTCTCTTGGCCTACAGAATGGACTTCTGACCCCCTCAGCTTTGAGTTCCACCCCCTGCAGTCAGGACTCTGCGCCACCATCCTATTCAGCCTCTGCCCATTTCCTCCTGATGTTTCCACAACCTGACCCCAACCTTTGCCTCCCAACCTGGAGGAAGATGAATTTCCAGCTCTGCACCCCTTCTCCGCGTTTTCAAAGCCAGGCACTGCCTCCATAATCCTACTGAGCAAACGCCTCTCTGGATCCCTCCACCCTTCAGAATGAACACCACACCTGAAGAAAATCATGGTTTCTCTAACCTATAGCTAACAGAGCATGCTTTGACATGGGACTGTTAAGGAGAGAGGGGCCTGCATCATACCCAATGGCTCCCCCAAATCCCCTCTAAAGAATTTACTCCTTCAAATTCAATAACACAGGATGGACAACAATCTACCATATTCCTGATGGGATTCATATGCAGCTCTGGGACAGACGGCAGGATAGTGAGAGTGTATAGTCACAGAAACTACCTGGAAAATAATTCAAAGTTCAGTTTTTCAGAGTCCTACGTTTTGCCCACTAGCAAAAGTACATGTGCCAGTATTAAAGGTGTTACAATCAATGTTCTATTTAATTCACACAGGATCCATGTGGTTTTGATATCATTGTGCCTGGTGTGCATATAACCAAACTGGAGCAAAGAAGGTTTGCGGAATTTGCTGGGTTATATATCTTGGTGCAGCCAAGGTTTAGACGGCTGAATCCATCATGCCTATGAATCGCCACAGAATCTGGGCTGCCATCGTTCCTAAGGGACCTGGTTGCCATCGTTGTCAAGGGACCTGGGCTGTCATTGTTGCTAAGGGAACCGGACTGCCATTGTTGCCAAGGGACCTGGGCTGCCATCATTGCAAGGGACCTGGGCTGCCATCGTTGCTAAGGGACCTGGGTTGCCATCGTTGCTAAGAGACCTGGGATGACATCATTGCTAGGGGAAATGGGGAAGGTGGGAAACCACAAATCGGGTCCCACCTGCCACTGGAGTTCATTAGTTCTCTCTTTCTTTCTTCTTTCTCTTTTGCTTTCCGTCCTTGCTTGCTGACCGTCTTGTTTCTGTCTCTTCCATCCTCTCCTTTTCCTCTGTCCCTTTCCCCTCCTCTCAGCCTTGCTAAATTCACAAAAGACTTCACAGAGCCACAACGGACCTAAGAGATAAAATACCTCCACCCCTTTATTTTTGAAGATGAGGAAATGAAGGTCCAGAGAGGGGAAGGGTGTGGACCCAACTCACAGTCAGCTTGCGGTAGGGCTGAAGAGAGAACCCACTTCCTCTGCACGTGATCTGTCAGCTGTTCTGCTGCTCTAGTTCCCATTTGCCCTAGACAGTCTACAGGCAGCAGCCTGCCCCTCAGCTCTTTCCTCAACTCAAAGAAGATGCATTCCTACATAGACGACAGAGACAAACCGCTTGCTGTGATGATGATAAGTCTTGATAAAACTTGAACTGAGTGATTCCTAGAAGGCAGAAAAAGCACATCTCTGGGTATCTGCGCAGATCTCTGTATTTCAGATATGATTGGTTCCCAAGGGCTCCGACCTACGCGGTGTTTTAATCCATTTAATGAGTTCAGGATTCAGTAGACTCCTGAGAAGTTGTGAGATTGTTGGAGGTGGGGCCTACTTAGGGGAAGTGGGTGGTTGTGGGAGGTTGTGGGAAGGGGGCACATAAAGAATAAAACTTAGCCTGCTCTCTTCCTGCTGCCCTGTCCTGCCTCCTGGCTAATGTACTGTGAACCATTTTCCCTCTTGCTCTTTCTCCATGAAGTACTTGCTTCACCATGGGCCCAAAACAAAAATGTAAGCCATCCAATCATGGATGGAAGCCTCCGAAATCATGAACTAGGATAAACTTTTTCCCCCTGTATGTCAGATATTGTGTCACGGCAATAAAACAGTCCAGTGCTCCTCTGGTAAAAAGTCAATAGCGTTGTAGAGTATTGACTATGAGCACTGACAGCCACAGGGTCAGAGACGACACCTCTGAACATCCCCCCCTTTATCCGCTCCCGCCTGACCCCACTCTGAGCACATGAACCCCTCTTTCTCATCACAAACCACCCTGGCTTTTCTCATCGTCTGATTATCAGTCTCTCCCACCAGACTCGAAGCTTCCTGAGAGCTGAGGCTGTTTTTGTCTTTCTCTGCTTTATCAGTCTTATGCATCCTATTATACAAATCAGGACATTGTAGATGTTCCCTAAGTGTTTGCTGAATGAATAAACAAAAGTCTAGTTCCAGCATTAGTTTAATGGGCTCCCATAACAAAATATATCGGGATAGGTAGCTCAAACAATAGACGTTTCTATTTTCTCACCACCCTGGAGGTGGGAGGCGGTGGGGGGGGGGCACATCAGCAGGGCTCATTTCCCTAGCTTCTGTGCATGATCACCCTGCTGTCGCTGCTGCGCTGATATATCTGGCTGTGTTTACTAGCTTTCAATAGCTCTCTTCTTATCCTAACAATAGCCTGTGTGGATGGAGGACCACTGTTACAGGCTCCTTCTAGCTTCATCTCAATCTTATTTCTAAATATAGTCATGAGGTGCTGAGGCCTAGGGCTGCAAAAGAAGACAAAACACAATTCCGTCCATACAGTTCCCCATCCTCCACTAGCTCACAGCTAACAAGGATGTACACATAAAATACGATAAGACAATATAATAACTGCTCTGATAAGGAAGTACAAAGCCTTATAGAACACAGGTGGTGGAAAGTAATCCCAGCCACCTCATGGAGACTCTCTATGTGGCTCCTACTGTTTTAGGCAC